AAACTATATAACATATAAATACGAATAACTCTTATAAACACGAATTACATTTGTTATTGTAATATTTTTTATTATAACGAAATATTAATTGACGAGAATATAAAATAAAATAAAATAAAAAAAAAAACCAAAAATGTTAACTATATATTTTTAATTTAAATCGTATTGTGCACATAAAAAAAAAAAGAAAACTCATACAATTAATTTTGTATTATATATATTTTGTTTAAATACTTCCTTTTATCGTGTACTTACCAATACATTTTATATTTAACATATAAACACGTGTATATAAATATATATATATATATACGCTATATAAATTAGTTTTAAAAGTAATATGAATAGAAATGAATCGTTAATAATTGTTAATCGTTATTAGCATGATTTTATCGACGTTTTAAATATCCATCAATATGTAAAGTGTGGATACGTTTTAACAATAATGATTTTAAAAGAATAAAAAAAATATTACTCGATCGTGTGTGTGTGTGTGTGTGATCGACAATGAAAATGATTACACGAGAATAAATTTATAGACTTAAATTACTAGCTTTATAGGTGAGCTTGTGTGTGCCACCTTTAACAATTTTTACTTAGTCACAGTTTTCAAGCAAGAGTTCTTGAACCCGACTACTTCTGTTGTTGAGATCGATAAAGACGATATTATTCTTTGAGTTATGGTCTCTAAAACGAACCTTACGAACCTAAGAAGGAAAGGTTCAATGCTTCTCCTGTGCTAAGATTAGAAACTACTATTACACACATGCATATACTTTTAACGTCCTATGTGTGTGTGTGTTTGTGTACGATGATGTGTTTGCATATGTTTACTTAGCATGCCACCTCGATTCGATTTTCAACGACATCATACGTTAATACTTTTTTTATTTTATTTCATCATGTCAGTTTTTTTTTTTTACTGATTTATTATGCACAAAATGTGTATGATTATTATTATTATTATTATTATTATTATTATCACGAAGAGAAGAAATTAATGTGTTACGCAAATTTCTTTTGGTATTTTTCGTTCAATCATTCTCTCTTATTTTATTATTTGTTTTATGAAAGAAATTATGTAAAAAATACAAAAAGAAAAATAAAAAAGGAATAAAGTCGTAAGTTCGGGTAAAATATTCAGACGAACAGAGAATGCCCATTCATTTTGACGACACATGTGTCATCGATTATTTTAAATTGTAGTTAAAAAAAAAGATGAAGAAAGCCAAGTGAGATAAGGGGATTCGAATAAATTGTAAAAAGAAATATTCGGAGAACGTATTTAACGTGAGTAATATTTTTCTTTGAACGATTAGTATTGGATCGTTTAATGAAGAGAAGAAAAAAAAAAAAGGGAACAGCAACCTGTTGAGCCATGCTGCTTAGTTTTATGTAACGAAATATTAACCTTGGAGTGTATTGAATACTTGAGTAATTATTAAAAAAAAAAAGGTGGCAATTATTGTGAGACACACATGTTATCTAAAAAAGAAATATCGTGAAAGTAAATATTAGAAATGAACGTATTGAAATTGATCAATCGTATGATTCGATTTGATTGATTTCAATGTCACATTGAAAGAAATATATATCAAGAAGTTATAGAAGTTTCGTTAGATTTACAATTAGTATTAGAAGGTTACGCCTTGCGTTACGTGTTCATTTGTATGATAATAGAAATCATTCATTTTAATTCGATTTTTATTATTTGAAAACATATTGACAATATAACGTGTGCAAGAATCGAATATAGTTAAATATATTTTGAATAATTGTATGCATGTAATAATTGATATTGATTTAAATAATAAGTCAAAAATCATTGGTAGATAATATTTATATTTATTTGATTAATATTTATCAAGATATAGAGAAGAGAAAGTTTTTCACTTGCAACGAATTTAATTTGGATTTTTATTCTTACGTTGATTACAAACAAATTTTCTATCTATTGAAAAATACAACGATTTAATATATAAATTATACAAGAATTTGTTTATATGATTAATATATATTAAATTAATTAAATATTCGCACGAGGGTGGGGAAGGAAAAAAAAGCAATAATTAAAGATTAAAAAAATGGTCATCAAAGTAAAAGTAAAAAGAACAAACAAACAAATCAAAAAGAAAAGAAAATACAAATTGCAAAATGTTGAAAAAGAAAAAAAAAGTTTGTTTTACCGATTGTGTGCGAGGGATGAATAATTAAAAATATTTTACTTAAATTGTGTTTAGAAGAGCGTGATACGCGAATGTGAACGAGGAGACGGAATATTTGCGCATAAAGAAAAATGGCGCGCATGCACCAACACTGGATTTTGATTGGTCGTTGTAGGTGGTTGCGCGCGCATTTCGAGTCACGTTTCGTGCGAGCACCCGCGAGTTCAGTAGCCGCCGTGCGGCCGCGTGTATTCGTTCGCAATTTTTCGGTTAGTAGTAGAAGTTATTCTTCTTCTTCTTCTTCTTCATCATCATCTTCTTCTTCGGTATACTTAAAACAATAAACGTGTAACACACACTTTGACAGATCATACTTATCTTTCTTTTTTTTTTTTTAAATACAAGTCTCGCGTATTACATGCTGCAATACTTCATTTGTTTTATTTAAGTTTTTCTTTTCTTCTTCGTTTTAATATTCGCGTGACAATTTAAAAATTAGAAATTATTTTCTTTTAGTTTTAACTTTTTTTTTTTGCGTGCGTGGATTTAATTTCAATTCGAAGTTGCACATAGTTTTTATCAATTTTTTTTTTCTTTTTTTTCGTATTACAAACTATAGAGGGGACTTTTCGTTTTTCCTTTTTTCTTTTTTTTTCTTTCTTTTTGTAACAAGTATCGCATAAGACAAAGCCGTGAAAAATATTTGTCGTAGTCCGTCCGTAGTCGTAGTTATAGTCATAGTCGTGATCGTAAAGTGTCAATTGCACAAAGAGCCCGCGAAAACGAGTGGTCATTTCCTTCCCATTGGTAGTCAACTATTTTATACAAAGAATTCAAGAAAAAGAAGAAACAATTTACTCTCCGTTCTTTGTTTTGCTTTATTATTATTATTATTATTTTTTTTCTTTCTTTCTTTTTTTTTTTTCTAAAGTTGTTCACTGTGTCTTTTATTTATTTTTTTTTCCTTCTCCTTCTCCTCCTCTTCCTTCTCTTCCTCTTGTTACATTACAGTGTGTTATACTGAAGAAGAAAAAGAAGAATTGGAAGCAGGAAGAAAAGAAGAAACACACAGTGTATGATAAAGCTCGGAAATTGTCGTATTCTCCGACAAGTGTTACGAGGACGAAAGAAGTCTTATCTTTTAACATTCGTCCAGTTACAAAGGAAGATATTTTTTTTTTTCTTTTTCTTTTCCATTTTTTTTCTATTTTTTTCCTTCGTTAATTTTCTCAGTAAGAAAAAGGACATTAGTCGTCGTCGTCGTTGGACAATTTTTTTTTTGTTATACATTGCATCGTGTGAGTACATTTAATTATAATCATTTTTCTATTCTAATTTATTATTATTATTATTATAATTTATCCTTTTTTCTTTTTGCGGTTTTTTCTTTTTCGAATAAAATATTAATAGGTTTTAAGCTTAAAAGGTAGACAAGATTTTTAATAATTATTTTTAATACGAAGACAACATTTGTTTAATGTATAATTAATATTAATTATTAATATTAATAATTAATTTATTAATAATTGTTTAATATGTAATAATAAATTTCGATGATTTTAATTTGAAAATAATTTTGTATTATCGTTGCGAGAATAAAATATTCAATATTTATATTTATCATTCTCGAGATAGGATGCAAACAAAAAAAATCGGATGTAAAAAAATTGAGAAGATTAATTATTCGGGATAAATTATTTTGCCAATCGTTTCGAGCATCGTTTTTTCTTCTTACTTATTAAATATCGTTACTTCTGATTCGTCGATGACAACATTTTACAAAAAAATTAATTGTCCAAAAAATTAAATCGATTATTTTCGCAAACGATCACAAAAAAAAAAAAAAAACAAAAAATAAAGAAACGTTTCATAAACAGAATTTTTATTCTGTTACGTGGTATATTATTTATAAGGTTGGGGCTTGATATAAACTAGCTATAAAGTTTATGCGGTATAATAATTTAAAATGTGTTTTTTTAACGTTTACAAATGAATTTTGCAGTTTTCGAAATAGTATCGATCAAATTTCATATCGCAAGTATTTATCAATTATACGATAATACTAATTAAATTATTATGTTATGTGTAGAGATCTAAGTAAGATAAAAATAATTATCATGATAAGAATAATAATAATAATTTACGTTGTGTAAACTCGTCGAGAATAGTGTAATAGAATTCTTTATTTTTTTTACTTCTTTATTTCTTTTTTGTTTAAATAGACGAACGTCTTTATTAGTTTTAGTGACACGTGACACATGAAATTAATAATAATTATCAGCTAATCGTTAAACGATCCGTTCGTTCGCCGGCATAATTTAATAAAACACGTCGAATGATAATTTTCAATAATTTGTTTCAACTTGACAATTACTTTACTTTTAATGATTCATTTATTTCTTCTTTGTTTGTTTTTCTTCTTCCTTTTTCTTTTTTTTATCTAAATTTATTCTAACTTCATTTATACTCTACCAAGAGAATCCATTTTATTTAATTATATTTATTGTACGTGGTATTTTTTTTCTTTATTCTTTTTTCGTTTTTAAAGTAAATACAAAAGCAGGGAAAAATGAGGGGGGAAGGGCAAGGGGAAGGGGGTGTATTCCTTTGATCTAAAGGTTTGAAATTGATCAATTTTTAATTATAAAATATCGTAATTAACAATATTGACGAGTTAACGCTTGGAAAATTTTACATGTAATTATTCGTTTTACATTTTCGCAGAAAATCATTTTTTGTTTTGTTTTGTTTTGTATAAACGATTATGAATTTTTGCGTCGCGTTGTAATATTCAATAATTTTGTTATGGTACGAATAATGTAACAAAAAATGTAATTTTCGTATTTTCAATTTTAATTTTTGTTTTGTTTTCACAGTTTATCTTTTCTATCGTTCACGAGAATTAACCGAGTAATAATATTTCAAAGTTAAAACGATAACGATTATGAATAATGTCGACGAAATTTATTTCTTTTTTTTTAACATTTTATTTTTTTTAATTCTTTCACATGTCAACGGATAATTTTTGAAATTTCGTATAAATTTAGATTTTTTCGGGGAGCGGTATGTTAATAATAAATTTTTATATAAAAAAAAAAAATAAAAAATAAAAGAAGCCACAACACATAAATATTTGTACGGGTTTATCGCGAATGCTATACACCATTATTCGTATTAAATATTATCCATAGGTGTGTTTAAGTATGTGTGTGCAACATACACATAAAGATACGGAAAAGTTATTAAATTTAAATTGAATTGAAAGTTGATCGTACGTGCTTGCGATTTTATCGTTTTTAACGATAATAATGGCGTTAAAAAAGATTAGATATTTTGTGTATTATTTATTTATTTTTATTATTATTTTATTATTATAAAATATCAATGTGTGTATACATATATATAATACATTTTTCACCTACACGCATTCCTATCGATTTTGGTAATAAAATTATTTCGCAATATTCTTTTTAATACTCTTGCACGTGGGTCGAATGTATCTTCTTTTTTTTTTTCTTTTTTAAAACGGATCAAAGAGTTAATCTTTGTTATAAAATTAATTACTCTTTTGTACAATCTTTATTATTTTATTTTATTAATAAATATCCACGAATACCACGATGAACTTTGCATACGATCGAAAGAAAACGTTCGTTAATTTATTTCCTTTGAAATGTAAATAACCAACAAAATTTAAGAATTTATTTTTTATAAGTTTACAATAGAGAATTAATATTATTATTAAATAATATATAACATTAGAATATATATATTTATATCTTTATAATCAAAATTCCGACATTAAATTTTTCATCATTCAAAAAGTTTAATATTTTATATTCCCCATTAATAATTTTATTTTAAATAAGACAAATAAAAATTGATTTAAAAAAGAAATCAAAATAATAATAATAATATTTTTTTGTTTCTAAAGGCGTCAGAAAGTTTCATTCGTCGTTTAGAATTCTCGTATTCGTTTTCGTATTTCGTCAATGATATTTTGAAGATACAGAGAACCGATTGTTCGGTTTCAGCTAATAATAGTTTAATTGTTCACGTTTGAAATTCGTTCAAGAGCACGAACGAATCAAAATGTGCGTAGGTTGGTATTTTATATTGGTTGGTGGATACTTGTTCTCTATTAGAATACAAGCATTTATTGACTACGCCTATGAAATAGTAGTCAGTTGTTTAATTTGAACAACTTATCCCACCTAACAATTTACGATGCATTTCGTGCTGGAAAAAGAAAACCATAGGAGGAGGAGGTCATTTTAAATCCCATCATGTTCGGAATTATCGAAATTACGTGACTACGTGTTTTAGATTAATTTGTTTTTTCTTTTTTTGATATTAATTACAAAATGAAAAATAACTTTCGTAACGTTCTTCTTTATTTTTCATTTCGATCGTTAAAATTGTATATTGAATATTCAATTATAGAAATATTTGATCGGAAAATTTGTTAATCAAACATCGTCAAACGAAATATTCAACTCGATATATATATATATATATATTTTATTCGCGTAATTTGTTTTAGGTAATGATCAAGGTTTTTTTTTATTCGTGTTAAATAATATCAAAGAAAAATAAGAACAAATTATTTCCAAATTATAATTTTTCTAAAAGCTTTAATTAAACTTAAATATATTTGACTAACACGAACATAATTTAATTACAGTGTTCCTCCTATTTCCATGGTACATTTAAACTTGTAATATTTAGTCAAATATGCATGCATCAATTCATACTTGAGATAAGGATGTAGAATTAGAAAATGTGGGAGGTTGATAATGTTAACGATTAATTTAGTAGAACAAAGCATCATTTCAATCATTAATATCAACTTTATATATAGTAATACGTAAATATATATTTCTTTTTTTATTATTATTATATTCTTCATTTTTCTATTCAAATTCAAATCATTTCTATTATTTCCATTCCTTTTTCTATTTTTTCTTTTTTCTTTTCTTTATCTTCAAAAAATTTAACGTTTCATTTAATTTCACATTTAACCATTAGATTTTCATTTTAATTCATCCTATTTAAATATGATAATATTTGATTAACGTACGATAAAGATGTAAAAGAAGAAAATGTGTGTGGGTTCAGTGGGTGTTAGATTATACGTATAATTTCATAACAACGTGAATCATACATTAAGTATAATAATAATAATAATATCGTAGTGTGTTTAGTCGTAATAGATACAAAATATTTGTACAGTCTTCGTCTACGTCATTTTTTTTTTATCTTTTTATTTTCTTCTTCTTCTTCTTGATTATTATTCTACCTATTTTCTAATCTTTAGAAATAGAAATTTGTATACTCGCTTTTTTCATAAATTTCCCTAGAAACTTGTCGCATAGAAGAAAAAAAAAGAAAAATGAAAAGGAATATAAGAAAATGATTAGTAAGACATACTATGAAGGAATAATGAAAAAATATAAAAAAAGTGAAAGAAAGGGGATAAGGAAATAGGAAAAGAACGGTGGGAAGGGTATAAGGGGTAAGGGGTAGGGGGTGGAAAAGGAAAGAAACAATTTCTCGGAAATTTTCTTTCCTTTCTCACTCACTCTTTGTTGTTTCTAACGATGTCTAACCTATCTCGCGAGATTAATTCTGTGGAAATTTTCATTCTCGTGAATGCAAAAGAGAGAGAGAGAGATAGAGAGAGAGAGAGAGAGAGAGAGAGAGAGAGAGTCCTAACAAATTGAAAAGCAGTTCATTCGTATTCTGTTGGTAGTGTACAATAAAAAAAAAAAAAAAAGAAAAGAAAAAAAATACAGAAAATAGAGTAAGGAAAGAAAGAAAGAAAAAAAACAAGCGAAATACAACACACCCTTGTTTTTATTTTTTTCTTATTCGTCCCTTTGAAATTTAATTTATAAATTAACTGATCTCTAACTCTCTTTTTGTATATTTTTTAATCAGCATTCTCATTATTCTTATCTTTTCTTTTTTATTTTATTTGATTTCATTTCATTTGATTTTATATTATTTTATTTTATATTTTTTAATTACGCGTCTACATATATATGTATATATATATATATTTTAATATGACGCGAGATTAATATGATTATTAATTTTTTTCCCTTTCCTTTCTTTCATTCTTTCTTTCTTTTTTTTTATTTTTTTTTTTGTTATATATTATTACAAAATATTTTCTATAATAAAAAACGCGAGTTAGTAATACGTATTTATTTCTTACTTTTGAAATTGTTAACACCTTCTATTGATACTTTAATGTATTATTTTATTATTAATTATCAACGTAGTATGTTTGTAT